ACTTTAGTGAGGAGAAACTTCATTAAAAAATGAAACAAGAAAACCCCTAACCAGCCTTAGATGCATGCCTGCAGACTGACAATGCCAGATGAACTTTGCAAGATTCTGTCAGGCTGCTTTCAGACCTAAAGGCACGACATCGCATCAGCTCAGCTTCAGCTCTGCTTCGCACGGGCATGGCTCCCTGCCCTGCGGCTAATCCACTCACGGAGATGGATTACAAATCTATAGGTTGGAAGAGCGATCGCTGACGGGTCGGATATCACACCAGCGTTCCTCTCCGTTGGCAGCGCGGCGGCACGCAGCCCGGGGAATGCACAGGGCCGGGAACACGGCTGGCTATAGTCAGCTGCGGACATGCAGGGGTCCGTGCCTGGTCACTGGTGGCTCCTCGGGAGCAGGGCCAGGCTGGAGGGGCCAAGGTGGGAGCGCGATGACTGTGAGCCCCCTTTCTGCCTCTGAGCATTCAGTCTGGGTTACCAGCTTCATCCTGCAACCAGAGCCTGCTCAAAGCCAGATATACTCTTGGCTTCAAAGGGAAAGGTTTAGTCATTGAGAAACACAGCTCCCACAACGAGAAAGGTTTAGTCATTGAGAAACACAGCTCCCACAACGAGATGAGTGAAAATTATACACCAACGGCAAAGCACGCAGAGCTCAGAGTCTTAAGGAAAAAACTGAAGCAGCAGAGTGGCTATTTCAGACCCTCTCTCTGCACATTACATGCCCTTACACAGAAATCTTCCAGGGATCTGAGGATGGGAATGATCATTTCTCTTCCACTCCTTACAAAGAAAACCTGGTGCACAGCTTCATCCCTTCATATACAAACACAGACACTCTTCCCTCCAGAGGATGAGAAATAATTTGCAGAGCACCTTTAAAAAATGTGTCCCAAATAATCTGAGAATACAACAGTGAATCCAGAGATAAGAATTAAGGACTCCTTGATTTGCACTGACATCCTTGTTTACTTAAATTTCTGCTGCTCTTTGAAGCTTTCTAACTGACAGCTGCTGGTTGGTGTTTCCCCAGACAGTGTTGTTTTTGAAATCTGTGGTAAGATAACACCAACGTGAAGTACTTCCTTGGTTTGCTATACTGTAAAAATACTCGTGGAAAAAAAGCATTTTGCTGCAAGCATTGTTGTGGGAAATTATAGAAACTAAAACCTTAAAACAGTAGTGGGGACAGACAAATAAAATTATAGATTTTATGAGAAAGCATCTAAAAACATGCAGCAAACTTGCACTCCTTAGCCAGCTCCCTCTAGAACAAGACCAGCACTTTTTGGAAAAACTGTGCTCAGAAAAATGGTCTACACAGTTTCTCAAAAAAGCATACAGTAAATTTGGAAAAGGCTCTATTAAAAAACCCCAAGCCATTAATTTAAAGCATAGTTTAAACAAATATAGCATTCTGTAGTATTTTCATACTGACATTAGACACAACATGAATCTACGATTACGTATTTTGAGAACGTGTAACATTTTTTTCTACTTATTCACCAAAAGGGTTGTCAAGCACTTGAACTGGCTGCCTGGGGAAGTCGTAGAGTACTCATCCCTGGAGGTATTTAGCAGACATGTAGATGTGGTAGCTAGTGACATGGTTTAGTAGCGGCCTTGGCATTCCTAGGTTAACGTTTGGACTTGATCTCAAAAGCCTTTTCCAATCTAAACAATTCTATGATTCTATGATCTTAGACAGACCAGCTAAATATATAAGCTATCGCTATTAGATGCAATAGAGCTGTGTCCACCTACAGGAAAAAGCAATCAGGTTCAAGCCTATTTAACAGTGCCCACTAATAGTCACACTGAAAAGGACAATGATCTTTCAAAGCTCTTACACCAAAGCCACTGAAAAACTGTGAATACTTGCCTAAGGACTTGTCTACATATACACACACCATAAGTGTTCCCATTTTCTCACCTGCATGCCCAGATAAGGTAATAATTGTGCTTTCTACTTCTTCGTTGTACTGTTACTTATAGAAAGAGTCTGTGTGTATATATAATTATCTCCAGAAGATATCTGTAAAATATTGCCACAGTTTACGCTGTAATCAGTATCACACTTCAGAAGTCACCAGTAATTTTACAAATTATCTCAGGAAAGAAATTCCACTTCTGCTGAAGTGTCTTTTAACTTCAGTTTTAGTGTAAAGATTGAATACTAGTATCTTGACATTTAAAATTTTATCTTGACTTTTCCTTAATCTGTTCATCAATTGTGGCTGCTGAAAATTTTTTAACAAAACATGGAAGAGGTTTTTTAAGTAGAATACATGCACTTATCGAAATAAAATTGTTGTCACCTGGAAAATTGCCTATGTGGATCTAAAACAAAATCAAAGAGCATGTTACCAACTCTGTTTTCTCTGTCATTCTTTTCCATCATATTTCAAAAAAATCAGAATAATCTGATTCACTGTTATATATTAGGGGACCGGTTTGCTCAGTCAGTTGAGCGTAGCGCTAGCAATGCTAAGGTCGAGGGTTCAATTCCCGTTCGGTCCCCATGTGTTGCCTGATCTAGTCGAGAGGTGGCGTCCCTGGCGGTAGGGAGGCTGGATTAAAATGATCTCTAAGGTCCCTTCCAGCTTAGGCCATTCTATGATTCTACACTATATAGAAGTTTGGGGGGATGGCTGGAGAGGCAGAGAAAGTCTTAGGTTCAATCAGGATGTTTATCCCTCATGTACCTATTAATGCCTTGATGAAGAATGCTGCACAAGATGGTTTTTTTAACTACTCAATAATTGATTAAGAAAAAAGAAAGAGATTCGTACTGCTAACTACAGGCTAAGTGGTTCTTTTGATTACATTTTATTTAAAAAAAACAACAATGTGTTGACACAAATGTTTTGGAGGTTGTAGGCAGGACTAATTTTTTTCACTTCTGAAGAAAATGTATCAGGAGTGGGGGTAGCAATACAGTTAACAGAAAGGTTGAACTCCCTCTTCAGTATTCATTTATAATACCACAGTACCAGAAAGGACTTGTTAACAAAGGCTCTTTTTCTGTGCTAGCTTCATAACTTTCCAGATTGCCTCCCACCATGCAGAAGGTTTTATTTTCTTTTGGCTAAGGAAAAACACTGAAATATTTTTGAAATTAATAGCCAAAGTCATGGAACTTCAGGCTTCAAAATTAGTGACTTAACCTGCATAAGTTTCAAGCATTCATCCAGTCTTTTCTTTTGAAGGTGATGGAAACAGTTGTACATTCAGCATTTTACATTTAAGACTTACTAAGGATAAACATGTTAGGCTTAGGAGTTTCAGTTCCTTTCTCTTTCCAGCTAGCAGCCCTCTTCTCCATGCTTTTCCACATTCATGCTTTTTCGTTTGGTGCATCTCCTTGGTTTTTTGAACAACTTATTTCAATAACTACATCACTCGCATTGTCATAAAAACTGAATTTGGATACAAGTCAAAAAAATTAAAATCAAAACACATATTTCTTTGCACTCCAAAAGGAACAAAGTTTGTAAAAGTATTTTACCGTAAGACTTTCTAGAAAGTGAACGTTTTTAGAACTGGCTCAAACCTACCAACTCTTACTCAACAGCAAGCTGTTCAAACTCTGTGAAAATGCCATGCGTGTGTGGGAGGAAGGGTAAACAACTGACTACTAATTTCAGAGCTCTCAGAATTTTTCCTAGTGTTTGGAAATCTTTCAATTTCAAGCTATGACATCACAGGCATTTCTTTCCCCAAGATCAAAATAAGGTACTTAATGAACTGATAAACACTCTCTTATTTGCACGGGGTAAGGCTCAATGCACGACAAAAGTAAACTTCCCATTCAATATTCATTTCCTACCAAATTTTCCAGTTTCCTTACTTTGTCATCTCCACGAAATAGAAGTAGAGCAATGAATAGGTTCAGATTAGGAGCTCCCTTTAAAAAAAGTAAGATGGTAGTCTCCTGCAACCATGGTGCTCTCTAGGTTTTGACTAACTACTCTGCCAGTAGCTGGACACAAATGCTGTGAAAAAAATAGTGAACAAATATGACAGCCAACTTCATTAAGGGTAGCCAGGGCAGGGGTGTGCAGGGCTGTTGCATCTCACTTCAGTAGTGGGAAATACTTCGTAACTTGGAAGAGATGAGTAACATTTTTAGGGCATAAGAATGCCCTTCAGAGCTGAAAATTAAACTAATTCATGAGAAAGGTTTCTGAAAAACTGACATTCAATCCTAAAAACCTTCTGGTTTTGCCAAATCCTAAAGTCCCTCTTAGTTAACTTGCTGACAGAGTACTTTCTGCTATAATCAGAAATTGAATTCACCCAAGTTCTTTGGGAAACCTGACAAGGGGCATCATATCTCTAAAGTTTTGAACTTCTTTAAATCCTTATTTTAAGAATAAATTATTCTGTAAGATATAATCGTTGTAAGCATATATCAAAGCCCCCTCTTACGATTTCCATAATGTCTCTTTTGCATAGAGAGATTGTGCAGAATCAGTGTGGGAACCAGCTGATTTCTCCAAACAGGTCATTGACAAGAATCTGATCCAGCAAGCAGTGTCAAGCAGAAGCTACAGATATTAATTTTAAACACATTTAAATTGTTTGAAGCCACTACCTTCAAGACAAGGGAGAGCAGCTCACCTTGCATTTTGGACACTTCTGGGCATTCCTCTGCCCATGTTCGATTTCGTTGGCCCAGTGACGCAACAGCTTGTCTCCCTTCTTGTACTCTTTGCAGTTAACACCTTCATGCCAGGGAGAGTGGCACTTGAAACACCAGACAAATTGGCAAGATGGACACTGGATCTGTACAAATGAGAAAACACCACATGTTTGCAAGTTGGGTGCTGACCCAACTGGACAGTTCGTTTTAAAACCATTGCTCTTCAGTTAAGAGATCAGCTGCCCAGCAAAGTTTTAACATCCTTTGAAGGGTCTGTTTTAAGAACACAATTAGTTGTGGAAGCTAACTTCTTTGGTTTTTTAGAGAGAGAAAATACAGAACCAATTGCTAAAGCCAGTAAAGGCCCTAATCAAACAAAGTATAAATAGTTTGTTTTCAACATAGAAACTGCTTCCCAAATTCACTCTATGACTCAAATGTTGAAAGGCAAAATCCAGGAAGCTTATTCAGTTGCTGTCAACACATGTGTAAGATGACCTAAAAATCAGCAGCCTGGTTTTGGTGTGGTGGATCTCAGTCTTCTAGCTATACACTTCACTGTCAAGACTATTACCAGGGCGTACCTGGTCTTCTGAGGGGGCTCTACAAAGCCCAGAATGGGTTATAAAGCTTTATTAGAAACAGTCTAGGGAAAAGGGACCGACAACAAAGGTCTCAAGCAAGGCTCACAACTACCACGTGCAAGTCCGGCACCTCCTTTTGCTCTTGATTGCATAAAGGCAAGCTGAGGCTGTGCCGAACAGCCCACTTGTTACAGATCACACCTCACTGCAAAAACCACAAACCAAGATCCTTAAATTGAGAAAGGGTCTACTCTTTCCAATCCCAGGGTTTTAAATCATTGCTTCAAATAGGTACCATCATCATCATGTCTTCCTCAAAAGTCTGGCTACATTTTTGAAAAAATCTTTGTCAGCTGCCGTGTTTCTGGAAGTAATAAATGGGGCACATCGCAGGTGCTTATTTTATGAAAGACAGGCCTCTTATCTGGATTGTGCCTAAGGAAAGCAAGAACAGGCACATGTAGGCTTCTGCAACTTCTTCACTTCTGCATTTGGCAACAAAACGTCTCAGCCTAATAGACATGAAGGTGCATCTCTCCAGTGATTGCTGAGACCTGTCCACCAGCTCCAGTTGCAGCTCGTGCCTGGTACTGCCCTGGCTTCATACCAGTTGATGGATAGGACTGAGAAATCGAACCAGTCAAAAAAAAAAAAAAACCAACCACAATAAAAAAAGGTAGCTTTTTTAATATTGTATCTGTGTCCAGAGCTGGTTCACCCCTGAACCATGGACACGTCTGTGCTGGCCATGCATGGTGCCGGGATGCTGCTCAGCAAACTACATCCTAGGGTGTAGTCACATGCGAAGCCCCCGAAAGGTATTTTTGAAGTTCTTGCTCTCAGTAGTTGCCATGCCCGCTGCTCAGACACGGCGGCTGGTGGTGTGCTGCTGTGGCTCCAAAGTAGGTGCTCTGATCTCCCTTAAGTATTTTGCTGGGGGGCAGCCAAATTATTTATATGTGCAAGTCCTACAGCATGCTAATGCAAAGCTGATCCGATCTCTGATGCATGACCAAGAAACAAGGCCGTCTGCTACCCTTAATGCTATTTCCCAAGTTTGATACACAGAGATATCATTTAGGTTTTTGCCCTTAACGTTTCATATTAAAAATCTAATTGACACAATGGTTCAAGCTAGGCCTTCTTATGAAGTTAGCTGGTCAGTTTTTCAGTGGTTGTCTTTTAACTTCACCTGTAGAGAGCAAACTCCTTTTGCACTGCAGCCTTATGTAACAGTCATGGCTTCATTTGTATAATGTGATGTACCTCTGTCTGTGCAGCACTGTTTAATAAAGTATTTTACCTTTAACAGTGGACTAAACGAAGTGCTGCTTAATGCATCGCTTCAGCTTACCTCTCTATGCCAATCCACAGCTACAGATCAGCAAGTGCAAGAATGGGAGTTAATGGTCAAGAAAATTAATAATTTTCTAGCTATTCATAAGACAGCTTTTTCACCTGCAGGATCCTTTGCCTGGGCATAAGGGCTTACATGTAAAGAAGGGAAGCAGCATCAATAAGTTGACAGATTTTCTTACTATAACACATTAACATTTTAGTCAGTTACCATCTACTAGGTCATATTTGTTAAAAAAAATCAAACAAAACAACAAATTGCATGTAATTTAAGCATTAGAATACATACATTCATATTACGCAGACTCAAAGAATGTAGTATTAAAACAGATGAAATTCTTATATCCTGTACCCCATACAGGAATGACTTACTGCTTTCCAGAGCTACGAAGTGACACTTTTTGCTAAGGACAGAGTCAGATACCTCATACAGAAGAAAACTGCACTTATCACATGCTTCCCATTAAGTTAAGGAAGACATAGGTAGGCAGCACAAAACCAGGAAAGAACAAAAATGAAACTTGTTTGTAGGGAAAATTAAAGCTGCAACTTGTGGATTACAAACATTACTACCTTCTGCATGAAAAACACAGTAAAGTCTAAGGCCAAGATAAGGTAGAAAAGAAAAGCAATACAAAAATATAACCGGTGCCCTTTGTTGGTCTGCTGACCCAGGTGCTAAACTACAGGAAATACACTGTGCTCATCTCTGCTTCCCAGAAGAACTCTCCTAACAAAAACAGTGTGACAGGAAAGAGCAAAATTCCCAGTCTAAAGAACCTAAAGAACAGCATATTTCTTCTACGTTTCCACAATACTTTAGAAACCAATATGCACAAGATAGTCACTAGTAATCTAACTTATCCCACAAAATATCTCTGTATCTTTTTTTTTGGTTCTCTTTTATTCTTTCCCCATCCCTAAGCTTTGAATTTACGTTTTTCAGTAACACATCACAATGACTTACTGCTGGGAAGACAGATTATAGCAAGCATCACATTGTATTACTCAGTATTTGTTATGCTTCATCCAAAGACTGAGCTTGTAGCCACGATTAAGTGTTCTGCACTCCGAAAACTTTTATCAGTTGCAGCATTCAGAATTTGAGATAGAACATGAATGTTAAAAAATACAAACCCAAACCAACAGATCTGCCTGGCTGCAAGTTAAAGCTTCTTTCTTAAACAAAATGTCAACATAATTTAAAACATAAGTTTCATGGGTCTGGTTTTGGGTATTGTTTCTGGTGAAAATCTGACACAAACTCATTGCAGGCTTTATCCTTCTATTATAGCAAGAAACTGCATGAAATAGAGCAGCCACTGGGACATATATTTAAACTTATACATACACACTGACATCAGATGTTTCCAAATACGTACCAAAATACAGGATGAGGTTATAACCGCATGAACTCAGAATAACATTTGTTACCACAAATGGCCCTGACTAACGGAAGTAAACTGATGAGAACTGCCTCTTTCATTACCAGGTCTGGAGTGCCTAGTTTCCTCTTCCACCTGCCACCACCTTCCTCAAAACTGAACTAGTAAATAGTTTTTACATTTTGAATGGGCCACGTTAAGTTCTCTGTTGTTCAATATTGTCTGAACATACATTAAGCAGGCAAAGAAAAGTATCTGCTAGGTACTCACACACCTTATTTTTCTTGGAACTAGTGGTTGCAAAAGAAAACCCTAAACCTATTCAAAGATGGATGCAGTGCAACATCAGTGTACTTGAGAAATAGGAACAGAATAGGGCAATTAAAGCAGTTTTTCAGATTCTTATTCCATTCTCAGCTATTCTGAAAGAAAAAAGTCAAATGTGATTTACTTTATGTTTCAGTGTAAGTGCACAAAATCATCATAAGGGCACAGAAATGCTATCTACATTTAAAGCCGTAAAATATATTGTAGTTCAGCAATCCAGACAAGCTGTATCTGAAAAAACCAAAAATATTAACATTTTAGTCAGTGTCTTCTCAAATATGATTTTCTCTCATAAGCATTTTTCCATTTATTTTACAACTTCCATTTCAGTCAATCCCATTTGAAAGGATGGATATATATACAAACCTCTATGCCATCTGGAGGTCAGTCTCCCTTGAAATAGAAAAGATTACACAACACCTCATGCTAACTCTTTCGGTTCTCAGCTTTCCAAAATACTGACCTTTGAGGCTAACATTTTCCATTTTCTTAGCTAGCCTCCTCACTGCAAACTATTCTAACTATCACTTTCTTCACCTCCCAGGAAAAGACCTTTCCAAATTGGTTAGTAACTTCAACACAAAACATTGCTCAGTGTGAAATGATGATAGCAAAACTAACTGCACATTAAAAATACACTGAGAGCCCGAAACTGCAAGAAGCTTAGTGGGATTTTCTGCTGCTTAGAGGACTGCTAGCTATATAAGAGCAAGGCTAAATTAATTGTGCAACTGATTACATGAATTAGAATCCCTAGCTACAGCTACACACTCACTTTATTCCAAAATAAATGCGGGCTCCTGCCAAAACAGCTGTCTCCTCCTCCTCACCAACCCGCCCCCTTTCTGGTACCAGCTGAAAACAAGCAACAACGAAACAAACAAATCTTGTATCCTGTTGGAGCAGATCTTTGATCCAGCTCCCAGTGTGACACCAAAACATCAACATGAGCAAAAGCAAGCTGGCAGGAACAGCTGAGAGCAAAGGGGGGGACCAGGGCAAAATCACCACGTCCGTAGCAGGTCAGGCTCAAAGCAGATGGAAGTGGTTTGTAGCCACAAAGATACCCGTTAAAATCTGATCCAAAAAGTGGGCAACAGATTGACATGAGCTACACAGATCCACTCTGTGACAGCATCTTTGCAGGCAGAGATCCTTACTAGTTCTAAAGCAACAAGTTTCAGAAACTCTTCAGTAATTCAAAAAAAAGGTAGTTTATGTAACAACTGCATTGAAAAGATATTTACATTTTCAAAGCCAAGCACTCAAGCCTTTCTTTTACGTGATATGTATCTCTTGACAAAAGTGAACAAGAAAACTTAACTATAAACCTCACAGGTTGGTAAAGCACGAATAGAGTTTGAGAATCAGGAATTGCTTTTTCATGGCAGATAGTAAGTCAAAGAATTAACATTAAAACAGGTGAAATCCAGGGCTTAGGGTAAAAGAAAACAAACACCAAAACACACAAACCCTTCACAGAACAAACCAACATACTGTTGTGAAACCATATCCGTTCCATGAATAGGAACTAAACTACAAAATTCTCAGGTTTTCCTCATTTCCCTTGCACTTTAGCATACCAGCTTTCACCAAAGGTTTAATAGGATACTGGCTGCAGACAAGTCTTACACTCCTAATACAGGTCACAAGAGAAGGGGCAAGTATCCTTCCTTACTTAAAGCTGGATACATTTGTGATACAAGTATTTTATACAGGAAACTAAACAGTAACACTGCTGTACTGTGCTGTCCCTAAGTGGCAATAATGGGAGAAGAAATGTTGGCTAGCATGTTTCCCTTTTCCCCCGCCTCCTTCTCTCTCAGCATACATGCACCAGCTAACTTCTTAGCACACCACCTAGCACACATTTCGATCTCAAAATGAAAATCAGCAGCGGCAAACTGGACCACTGGGCTTAGTGGTTGACACAAAACAGCTATAGTAGGGAAAATTAGTAACTTTGCTACCTCTTTAAATGTAGAGGTTGCCTACAATTTTAAACAGTGTATCAGATTTTAGGAATGTCATTAATAACATTTTTAAAGTATCTGTTGAACTGTACTCTTGGATTTTAGCATTGTTCTGTTGCAGTATGCAGGAGAGCGAGAGTACTGGCACTAAGCCCTTGGGTGCAGTGATCCAAGTAGGCTTTTGCGTAGACTTTCCACACACATGACTCAGTTTTTCTAAAGGCAACACTTCCAGTGCTTGTGTAGAATTCAGCTGGTGCAATTGCTGTTTATATATTGCTTGCATGTGAGCCTCCCAGTCTCCAGTCAGATATTTCCTATGCTATATGTAGAAGAAAATGAGTCTTACCCCCAAAGAGCCTATAATTCACTGCACAGACAAGATACACACAAGCAATCACAGGAGAATCTAAGAAACTGAGATAATAATGTTCCACAGCTATGTTTGTATGTTATTACTCACATACACACAATCTCATATATAGTTTTATTTTTAAACCTTAGCCCTGGAGCAAAACTCTTTCTTGTGCTAAGCTTAAAATAAATCACCATGCCAGAACAGAACAGAGGTTCAAGGAGTAGGCTGAAGCCCCAGACTATGACCACCCATACTGTTCGGCAGCATTTTCCTAATTGTATTTCTGACCAGTGTCAACTAGACACTCTTCCAGGCAACACCCGGGAAAAGCTGAAAGGACACATTTTGCCAGAGTCTATTCCCAGAAGGGCACCTGAGCTCTGCAGATCAGAGCCACACATAACGCATCACCACAGGACCAGGGAACTGCTTCTGGCTTGGGCTATTTCACGCACCATGCAGCCTCCCATTCCTTCTGCTTATGATTTGTAGGTAAGAAGTGGGAACATTTTAACTATAGCATTTTCACTCACAAAGAGAACTGGCGAGCGTAACAACCTGTTCTATGGCTTGAGGAACGTTCTCAGAGCTGCTATACCAGTGATACAACAGCTGCATCCCTGTTGCACTGCGACAGTAACAGTTTCTGGCACCCTAGAGAAGCTGCAGAACCCTCCAACCTCTGATCTCTCCTGGACTCTACATTCGGTCTACATCTGAGGGAATGCTAAGTGGATAGGTGAAGCAGAATGGCTGTGGGTAGAAGGAACTTTACCTGTAGTTGCAGATTTCTTCACCTCCATGTCAGATACCAGAAATCTGAAAATTTTGAGTCCAACAGACAGTGGAGCATGCAATTCCTGCACAGCACAGATATACGTTAAGCAGCTCATAACTCAGCTTCACTAAGGTTTTAACTCTACTGGATACACAACCTTCTACCTTTTAATCTCCGTACTATGCTGAATCTTATGCTGTCTAATTAGGGCTATCTAAACAGTCATCTAAACTACTGAGGAGAACTGGTTTGTCCAGGAAAGGCCAGTTCAATCGTGAAATTAACCAGAACAAATCTAATCACCAGATGGAAAACTAACACAGAGCACAATGATACAGACAGAACCATCACCTTCTGGAAGAGGTGGAACTTCAGCAGCTCAAAGCATCGTCTAATGGTCATCTCTTGCTTTTTATCTTTGATTAAAATCACAGTATAACTAAGTCTTCTGCTAAAAGAAATGTTGTAAAAGTGGGGTTTGCTTCCTAGTTCTCAAGTTCTCTGTATTGTGAGTGGTGAGACTACAATACCATATCACCTCCAGTCAGGGACTGGGAAAAAAAAAAAAAAGAAAAAAAAAATCAAACCCAAGAAGCAGGACAGACAACAGCTCTATTTCTATGGAAGTAGCAAGCTAACACCCTAACACCATAAATGCCCAGAATTCATCTGGACAGAGTTTCAGGGAAAATTTGTCTTTGCTAGGAGTTGTGTGTCTAAAATTATCAGTTACAGTGATAACTTCCCTTCCCCAGTCTCTTCTGTTTGTGACTATATTGTTTGCACGTCAGACAGAAAACACTCCTTAAACTGTGTGTCCGGACGAAATTGCACCACCTGCCAAAGAAAAAAGGGCTGATGTTTTACTGCTCTAACAGTTAGAAATCAACTAAGTAGTTAATCGGTGACGTACTACAGATTCATATTCCTAATCACAGCTCGCACGCAGCCCCAGTGATGCAAGAAAGCTCATTTAATGCCCACCAAATGCTGTCCTACTTTTGCAGTGCAATCTAACTCACAGCGCTGGCAAGCATGCTCACTTTGTATTTGTTCTCCAATTTGGCAGGGGTAGGAATGTGGCCTCTCCTCTGGAAGGTTGTAAAGTGCTTGCACTGAGGGCATGGCTTGGTGCTGGAGTCAATGCGGCTGAGTTCCAGGAAATATTTATACTTGATGATGTCATCGTGAGGCAGGTTATAGAGGACAGTTGTTTCATCCAGGTGTTCGCTGCACTCTGTGATCGGGCATTTTATATCCACTTGTCCCAGCTGCACCTGCATGTGAAAAAATCCAGAAGAGCCGTATGACCTTTTGCTTGGAAAAGTTGAGCAAGCATTTGTGAATTTTGTGAGGAAATTTAATTTCATGTACCGTAACAACCCACAGACTATGAAGCATATAATCTTAAAATTATTTTGACTTAGTCCAAGCACACTGTACTTTTTCCAGAGTGCATTTTCAAATCCAAACAAAAACGCTAATCGCTCCTATGACAACTACAATTATTAAATGTATAGTTTCAGCACCATGCCTATGTACTCTGTGAAACCAAAACACAAGCAGCAGCACCCATCCAGTACTACATGCTCTGGGTGTAATGCTCAGCACTCCACTATCACAGCTCAAGCAGGCTGTGAGAAAACAGGCAATGGAAATATTTGTATACTGTTTCACTGCAAAACATACTGGGAATCATAGCACAGGGAAACTAAAGTCAATTTAGGATCATTGGAGTCTAGCAGCTCTGACTCAGTGCTAGCCCTGAGCTGGCTCCTGCTCAGCAATCTCAGTGCTTCTGCAGTCTGCTTTCAAGAAGCTCCTGACATATCACACTGCATGTGCAGAAAGCGTTTGCTTAGCCCGAAGCTGACCAAGCTAATAAATTTTCCCAGAATACAGAGTTGGAGTTTAAAAACAATTTGCCTAAAACCTAAACAAAAAAATAAAAAAAACCCATACTCACAAAAACAACCCTTAATTATTTTTTTTAAGAAAACCTAAAAAGATGATCAGAACAAAAACAAGCACAGAAACAAGGTCAAGGTTAACAGGGCTGAAACTACTGTGGATCTAACGAGCCCTGATGGTCCCAAGCTGATCCATATGATCAGATACATGCAACGCATTTCCAGAGCTCATGGATCCAAGAACAGTGCTGGGCCCACGTCTGCACCCTTCATTCTCGGCAGGCTTTCACGGCTCAGCCTCCATGCCAAAACAGCAGATCCTACTTGGTCTGGGAACAGCAGAGTTGCATTTGCTTGGCAGTGAGCCTCGGTTAATAAACCCGGCTGGATCTTGAGAGTCTGCAAGGACCCGGCTCGAGCATGTTTGCGTCTGCCTCAAGTAATCTTGAATGAGTGAGTGTTGACTGTACAAGTGGAGCTGACCACCAGCCCAATTCCTTCCTTCCTGAATATCCCTATGCAGAGGAAAAAAAAGGAGTGGAGTGGTGCAACCAGCATCTCTTTCCAGGAATTACCATTTCAAGGTTGTCAGGTTTGATTTTCCTAGACTGCTTATTCTTTAACATGCTCCAGTATGGGAATCTGCTGAACAATACACTACATTCGGTAGGAATATCTCTGTTTTAGATGCAGATTTTGCTGATGCTTAGTGATACCAGAAGACACATCAGAGGCTCCACCAATGCAGTATTCAAGCTAAGAAAAGAGGGGAAAAAAGCAAAACTCAGCACAACCCTGTCATCACTGCCTCAGCAGTGGAGCCATATGGACTCTAACTGAACAATAAGTAATCTAGTCAGAAGTCAGAGGATTAGAAGAGTCCTAACAAAATAGTTTAAACCCCAAGGTTCATGCTGACTTAAAATATCGGTATGGGTAAGGGTGGTGGCAGCCCATCCCAGACCAGAGCACAGCAGAGAACACCTCAGCAAGCAATCGCTGCTGCAGCGCCCTTGGTAGCCTCAGCTCAGGGTGTGGGCAGGTCAGGATGGAGGCAGATCTGCCTGCAATACAGGGGAGATGCAGCTCTCCTAGCAATACAATCACTCTTAGGAGGAAACCTCCTCAAATTTCTTTTACAGCTCTAAAAGGTGAGCAGACCTCTGCAATGTGCAAACAAGGCTAGGCTTAAACCATTTGGCTTTTACATCAACCAGTGTGAAGAGTATGTACTTAAAAGTCTTGAATAAAAATATATATAAAAAAAAAAGCCAACAGAAAACACAAACAAAAACACGAAAAAACTACATGCTAGGGAATGTCCACATTTTGTACCTGTAGGACACTAAGTCACCTGTAGCAGCAGGTGAAGATTGAACTCAAGCATACGACATCACTAGAATGACTCTTCTGAGAAGAATCACCCAGCATATCACAGAGCTGCACTTAAGAAGCAAGAGATGATCAATCTGGCACTAGAGTACTCACACTAAACTAGGCAAATAATTTGCTATAGAAATATAAAAACTAATGCACTACTGTAAGGATTACTATTGCACTACTGTAAGGATTAGTACAAGCTTCTGTTTGTAGAAGCATAGGTACAACAATTTATAAAACCAAATTGTCAAATTAATCTCATCTACAGTTACTTCAGGGTTTGGGGATTTTTTTTTTAAGCATTAGGGAAACACTAATTTTAAGCATAAGAGGCAATACCAAGCAAACTAAACTATAACAGAGTAACACTTCACAATGAGAAGGCACACTGTATCTTGGCATCTAAGCAGGTTCTTAAGCAGCACTGCCCATATTAAATGCTAGTTAGAACAAACCTCATTTATAAAACTAAGGAATACAAAGTTGAGCACTTTCTGTATTTCTTGCCCACACAGAATATGATTAATATATCTGGTAAGAGTCAAGTGTGGTTTCAGTGGGTTTTTTTTGAAAATATGTTTTACATCCACTTGAACTAAGTTTTTATCCCCATAATAGTTTCAGCCTTTCAGGTCTGGCAAAGGTTGATCGTTTTCCTCTGTTCTGAATGGGACTGAAGTGAACAGAGCTGGTTTGCTTATTAGCAGTAACTTCAATGGAGCCTTGTCTTACCAAAACAGTCCATCTTTGTGTACTAGCATCAGCAAGTGATGTGAGCACACCTCTGAGGTAGCCTGCTAGGCTACCTGCTGCTGCAGACGCAGGAGGTGCAACAGAATGGGAAAGAAAGAAGAAAAAACTCCAAAACTCTTATATGAGAAAAACCAGCTCTCTACACCTTTTCCTTGATTTTTTTTTTTATTTTGAAAAGCCTTATCCTTCAGTATCAGCTTATCACAATGTCAACCCCCCAAGCTTTAAGGAGTCTTTGAATTTCAAAATACCATCATGTATTAGGAACTTCAGAATACTCAGTCTACACAACAACACGGGGTATTTTCACAGCACGAGGAACGAGTCAGATGTCTAAGAGCAGCTGAGCTGCAGTACGGTGGTAAATGTCAGGCAGCATCCAGTTCCTACACCCAGCTGTGCTTCACTTCTGTAAAGCATCTCAGAAGTGGCGAGCTTTGCTTACAATTCCTAAGGACAAAGGAGGTTCTTGTGACTTTCATCCTACAGAACAGTGGCATTTAAACTATCAGGAGAGCAGTAACTACCTTTCTGCCACCACTCAAGAGGGCAGGGCCGAACCAGACTCTACACTGGTCCACTTACTGCCCCAGAACACAGTTACACCAACAACAGAAAATAGAAACAGATAGCATGGTACTCGAAGTCAGAAAATTATTTCTACCTCCTGAGCTTTCTTTTAAAGGAAATATTTGTTAGCTACACAGAAAGCAAAGTCTGAACTACACTAGAGAAACACCGATGTATACCTGTCACTTAGCCTGGCCCAAGCTAGGTGTAACATAACCTGTACAGGCTGCACTTGGGCAGCTGCATTAGAGCCATATTCCCTAAAGAAGGTGCTATTCTACTTCAAAACAGACACATACAAACGAATATCTAACTAAACCTTACTCTTTATACAGAGATGCATATGCTAAATAAATCAGTAAATTATTCTTAATTCTTACATTTTAACAGTGACAGAAAAGTGAACAGTGCCATGTCTAATCTGCACCTCTGTAGAGAAATTTCTACCAATTCACCAAATCCTCCCCTGTAAACCACCAAGGATGTTACGTATAAAAGAAACAACATTTTGGAAATGCACAGGTGCAAGTGAAGGAACAGTCTGGTCTACAGGACTTACCAGGGGAAGAGATTAAAGTTCCCTTATTTATAGGCAAAATCCCACTGCTTCCTAGTTCACTGGAAACTTATTTTTGCTGGTAAGTTGCGAATCTGTGAGGAATTACTTTTCTTGTAAGTCTGGGAAATGGAGAGTATCATTTTGAATTTGTTTTTAAAAGATAATAATAAAAAAAAAAATCACAGAAAATACTCAAAGGGCTCACCATGGTTCAGGACTCCACAGTGGTGGGTGCGAACCAAATGAAATCCAAGCAGACATGATTCAACAAGCATAAAGCAAACTTTTACTAAGCATTTTGCACCTGCCTTTCAGGTTATGGTTCCCTGACCATTTCTGGGGTTTGAGTACTAACTTCAGCAGTTCAGATTCCCTACCTCTCATTTGTGACATCCTGGCATTCTCCATCAAATTCCTTTCACCAAAAAGCCCCCACAAAAACAAAACAAAAAAACCCCACCCTACAAAAAAGATTCTCTTTTTCAGTCCATCCATCCTCACTCTTTACTGCCAAATGGTAAAACTACCCAGCACTGCAAGGCAAGCAAGAATGAACAGCCAGAACTAACAGTAATTAGATTAGGGGCTATTTAAGTTGTATCTCTACCAAACAGGAAAGCAGACTGGGTTTCTTATATGCCACCTCCTCCACTGGACATCCTCACACAAGTGCTTGCTTGTAGTTTATTACTTCACAGACCATACTCCATGGGGCATGTCTCCCTTTTATTCCCCCTTTTATTAATTTCTCAATACAGCAGACTTGCAAATAAATTACTTTCTGAATTCCTTCCTCATTAAGTCACCCCACTGTCTTCTCTGCCAACCACCACCTGTAACCCTCACTCCAGTCGAGAGCTATCGCTCTCCTCCTCACTCGCCTTAGCAGCGTGTATATTGCTAGGCTCAAAAGGATCCATGAAAGGGTTCAAAATGGTGAGGCATCTCATGCACACTGGCATCAAATTAATATTTTTTTAGTTTAAATCCACATTTTCTGCTATGCTAAGAAATATCCAAATGACTATCTAAACAGCTACGCAGTCTGTCTGTTTAGTCAAACAATTAAGTAGTATTCCTTCATAGTCAGAGGAGAATAAGGAAG